ATCAAGAGCAGTTATATGACACATTTCATAAAACTGGTCCTGATATATCAGTTGACAACAGCAGCGACATCCAAAATCCTGAAACCTCAACCATCTCTACGTGCATGGAGGTGGACAGAGTTCACCAGGAAGATATTTCAAGAATGAAGGATGCAAGAACCTTGGAGTCTTGCGTTCAACATAGTTTTTAATGAATTTATTCTTCTGGAACTGTAGGGGAGCAGTGAAACCCCAGTTTCAAAATTCGCTTTTTCTGTTTACTAGGAAATATAAGCCTAGTATTGTAGTGATTCTAGAACCTCGGTGTAGTGGTCAAAAAGCTTCTGACATTATCCGAAAATCTGGGTTTAAGCATGCTTTTGTTCAAGAGGCAGAAGGTTACTCAGGGGGTATTTGGATCCTCTGGAATGATGAGACTGGTCTCGTTGAAATTATTAATCACACAAAACAGTTTGTTCATTTTAAAGTTCAGAATTTTCATGTTCCTTCCTTTTCTTGCACGGCAGTTTATGCGAGTCCTAGGGAAGAAAATAGAAAGGAGCTATGGGATGATCTGCTAAACATTAGTCTCCATTGTAATGGGTCGTGGTTGGTGGCTGGGGATTTTAATGAAATAGCAAATCGGGATGAGAAGAAAGGTGGCTGTAGAGTTAACTTAAACAGATGTTCCAATTTTGCAAATGTTCTTCATAATTGCAAGCTGCTGGATCTTGGAGGACCAGGTCCTTGGTTTACATGGAAGGGTCCGAAGTTTCTTCATCTTGATCGTGTTTTTAAGAGGCTGGACCGAGCCTGTGCTAATGCAAGTTGGAAGACTACCTTTACTGATGCTGGCGTTAAGGTACTTCCACGGATTTATTCTGATCATAGTCCCATTTTGGTCTACTTGTCTAACTTGGACACAGGTTGGAAAAATCGTCCCTTTCGCTTTGAGATTGCTTGGATGGAGCATTATAACTTTACTCAGTTTCTGGCTAGGAGCTGGAATGTTGTGAAAGACACTAGAACGAATCTGCATGATCTGACTCCAAATTTAAAAAGATGGAACAAGATAGTCTTTGGCAACATTTTCAATAGGAAGACTAACCTATTGCATAGTATTGCAGAAATTCAGAATCATGTTGATTATCATACCAACTTATCTCTCCAATCTAGAGAAAAGGAGGTTAGGAAGGACCTTGATGCGGTTCTCATACAAGAAGAGATCTTATGGTTTCAAAAAGCCAGGGTGAAATGGATAAATGATGGGGATAGAAACACCAAATTCTATCACATTAAAACAGCTACTCGAAGAAGTTCGAATAGGATTCTTGAGTTAAAAAATTCTGATGGGATTTGGGTGAAGGAAGCTAGACAACTTCATCAATTGGTAACAGATTTCTATAGCAACTTGTTTAGTGAGGAAGTCCTTAATCGTGATTGGGTGAATTCAAAGACTACTTGGCCCCTTCTGCACGATGATCTGCTATCTAATTTGACTCGTAATCTTTCGGATGACGAAATTTCAAAAGCTGTTTTTAGTATCAATGGGTCAAAAGCTCCAGGGGAAGATGGTTTTCCAGCTGCCTTTTTCATAAGAATTGGAGTCTTATTAAGACTAATGTTATTAAGGATGTTAACATGATGTTTCAGAATCCCAATCTGATTCACCTTGTGAACTCGACTCTTCTGGTCCTCATTCCAAAAGTAAAGAGACCTGAAAGTGCTAAGCAGCTCAGACCAATCTCTTTGTGCAATGTCATTTATAAAATCCTCAGTAAAATTCTGGTTAACAGAATGAAGCCCCTAATGGAAGAGATGGTGTCTCCCTTCCAAGCTAGTTTTGTTCCTAAACGACATATCCAGGACAACATCATCATCACCCAAGAGCTGATCCATTCAATGCGTAGAATGAGAGGAAGAAAGTGTTTCATGGCAATTAAAATCGACTTGGAAAAGGTTTATGATATGTTAAATTGGGAGTTTGTTCGTAAAATTTTGGATGAAATTCAAATCCCACACTGGTTCACAAATATTATCATGAATTGTATCAACTCTGATAAGGTCTCAGTGCTTTGGAATGGAGCCATTGCAGGTGACTTCCTTCCTTCAAGAGGAGTTCGTCAGGGTGATCCTTTATCTCCCTACATTTTTGTTCTAGCCATGGAAAAATTGTCTCATCTCATTCAAGATGCGGTTGACAATAAGAGATGGAAGCCAATCTCCGTGGGATCAAAAGGTCCTAAGATAGCCCATCTGATGTTTGCTGATGATTTGATGTTGTTTGCAGAAGCTTCTCTAGATCAAATCAAAGTTATAGTGGATTGCTTGGAGACTTTTAGTTCAATGTCTGGCCTAAAGGTTAGTATTCCGAAATCTAGTATTTTTTTCTCGAAAAATACACATGCTCACATTGCAGATGATATCACAAATGTGTGTGGCTTCAAGCAAACTCACAATATAGGGAGATATCTTGGGTCCATGATGAAACATGGTCGAGTAACCAAAGACCATTATGCTGATGTTGTTGCAAGAATTAGGCACAAGTTATCTGGTTGGAGTAACCAGGTCTTATCTTTTGCCGGTCGAATTACACTTTCCAACTCCGTTATTTCAGCAACTCCTATATTTCAAATGCAACACAGTCTGCTTCCTGTAGCCATTTGTGATGAAATAGAGAAGTTGCAGCGTGCCTTTATTTGGGTGATAAAAATGGTCAAAGGAGATCTCATCTGGTTGCATGGGATAATATTTGCAAGCCTAAGAGCATGGGTGGCTTAGGGGTGATTAACCTTCGTGTCCAAAATATGGCTTTCTTTCACAAGCTTGCATGGACGATACTTACTTCGCCCGATTCGTTGTGGGTTCGAGTTGTAACAAGTAAATATAAGAGAGGTTTGGATCTTCGGAGGGAAGTAAATCATAAAGCATATGACTCATACTTCTGGAAAAATCTGTGTAGTGTTTGGCCATCTTTTCTTCAAGCAATGCAATGGGAGATTGGAGACGGTAATGATGCATTATTTTGGACAGACAATTGGTTGGGTTTAACTGAGTGTCTTGCCTCTCTGGCTACTCGTACTCCAACTGGTTTGGAGTTGAATCTCCCTGTTAGTGCCTTCGTGAACAGCAATACTGGTCAATGGAACTTTCCTTATATTCGTCAATATCTCAATGATCAAGCTGTTGCAAGGATCCAAGCTGCTCTCATTCCTAGCGCATCGGATGGAAATGACCGCATTATTTGGAGAAATCAAAAGGTTGGCTGCTCTTTAGTTAAAACCGCGTATTATAACATGCTTGGTTTCCCACTCATGCCGTTGAAAAATTCTTGGACTACCATATGGAAATGGCATGGGCCTCAACGTGTTAAATCTTGTATGTGGATCATAATGCATGGCCGCCTTCTTACTAAAGACCGCACATCTAGATGGAGTGGGGAATCTGGTCATTGTAAAATATGTCCTGGTGAGTTGGAAACAAACCTCCATGTTCTAAGAGATTGTAAGCATGCTAGAAGTGTTTGGAATTCTCTGGTTTCAGCTAATCGGCAAAGCTTATTCTACAGCTTGGATCTTAGAGATTGGGTTGAAAATAATATCTCAAAAGCTTGGAATCAAAGTAATTCAGATGATTGGCGTGATGTCTTTTTTATCTCTTGTTGGTTCATTTGGGGATGGAGGAACAAAAGTGTCCATGATACTAACTTCAAGCATCCAACCCATGGAACGCACATAATTGCTATGTATATAGAGGAAGTTCGTAACTGCATGGGTAGGAAGGCTATGGCTACTACTAGCATTCATCCAACTCGTATGAGTTTATGGAAACCTCCAAGGTTAAATTGGGTGAAAATTAATATTGATGGGGCAGTTGAAAGGAATACTGAGGTGGCTGCTTGTGGTGGAATTATCAGATCTGATGATGGCTCTTGGTTGGGAGGCTTTGAGTATCATATTGGTGCTTGCACTCCTTTAATGGCGGAACTTTGGGGAACTCTAAAAGGTCTGGAATTGATTTGGCAACTGGGATTTAAGAAGGTGGAACTAGAAGGAGATGCTTCTGAAGTATTCTCTTTGCTTGCTGATTGCAATGCAGCTTGTCAGCCTCGTATAGTGGCTAAGATACAAGCACTCATCGGTCAGGATTGGGAGGTAACGCTTTCTCATATTCCAAGAGAAGCTAATTCCTGTGCTGATTGGTTAGCCAAGTCTGCTCTTCACAAAGATACTGGATTCTGGAGTCATAGAGTTATGCCGTTTCACCTTGCTCAGTTATTTGATCACGATCTTCAGGGAATCTCCTCTTGTAGGGGTATAGACCCTGGATAGTTATTTTTTGTTTCTGGTTGTTAGTTTGTTTTTGTTTGGGGCTTCGCCCCTTAATGTTATCAAAAAAAAAAAAAAAGTGAAAGCATTAAATATGAGAAATCATAACTATACAAAAGTGGAAATAAATATAAAATATTAAATTTGGAAAATCATAACCATACAAAGATGAAAATAAATATAACTGTTGGACCAACATAATCGATCTAACGATGAGATTGATTGGTAGTAACACAACTTGGTTGTTACAATATCCTTCCCCTTCAATAAATACTAATTTTTTTTGTTTTTTTAGAAAATATAATAAACAATAAAATATAGCATTTATTGGACATTAAATCGTCTTTATCATTTTTCAAAGGATATTCCATCTGGACACTCCATTGTCTTTATGGTTTATTATATTTTTCAAAAATAAAACAAAAAACAAATCAGCATTTATTGAACATTAAATTGTTTTTATCATTTTGTCGTGACACTCCATTGTCTTTATTATTTATTATATTTTCCAAAAAGAAAACAAGAAACAAATTAGCTTTTATTGGACATTAAATTGTCTTTATCATTTTTTCATGAATACTCTATTTGCACATGCCATGTGTCAAATTGTTACTGATATCACATAAAATGCTGCATAGTGCTGCGAATTAGGCTATGTGACATCTGTCACGTAATTTCACTATACTGTGTATCGAGATTATGCGGCCTTAAATTTATTGACATGATGTCATGTAATCTCATTGCATAGTGTAGCAAAGTAGGTAACGTAACTTTTTGATAAAAAAATTTCCAATTCGATCAATTTTTGCCAAAAAAAAATGACAAAATGGTCATTGTACCGTATAGAGGATGGTTGTTGAGTCAAAAAATGAAGATTGGAAATTGCCATGTACTTTTGACCTCGTACGCACTCTTGTCTAGCTGCAACCATTATAACTTAATTCATATTAACTTTTGATGTAATAGTTACGCAACGCATTAGAACACTGAGCATCACAATTGATTGTTTTGTTACCAAACACATACATATACGATCAACTGTAAGATTTTATTCAAATTATGTGTAAACAAGTTAATAATGTGTTTGGTAACAAAATGCATATCTTTTGTTTAGCTAAATTATCATGTTTCTGTTCAACACGACAACAAAAGTTAAAATAATAACTTTACATATGTGTTTCTACGAGAAAGGAATTGAACGTACTTCTAAAAGAAAGATAATATTAAAAACAAGGGACAAAAACGAAATTTCATTGAGTCTATTAGAAGAGTACAAGTGTTGTTTTGTGGGATAGAAAAATAAGGGTATTTTAAATTTTAAATTAGCATAGATCTAGTCCCCTAAATATTGAAACACTCTCAACAAATATTAATTATATAATATTATGAGCACAAATATTTGACATAGTACAACATGCATTCTCTCTTTAGTTTCTGGTTATATATGTTATCTGCAGAACAAATACTTGAGAGTAAAATGATAATATAAAAATAATAAAAATCTAGTTAACATTATTTAACCAATAAAAATCAGGATTAATATTTCTCATGTTATAAGAAATAAATTTTATTTTCTACAGGGGTTCATGTAGACTCATGTGAGGAGAAGAGAGAAAAAAAAATATGAGTCTCATACATTTTTTTTTTTTGTGTGTAAGAGATAAATCTATCTTTTACAATATAAGAAACAATAAATCTATAAAATTAATATAAATAAAGGGGATATAGTTTCTCATGTTGCAAAAGATAATTTGCTTCACGCAACACACAAAAAAGTGGGTGAAATCCATCTAGGAGAAAAGAGAAAAAAAACAAGAGGGTCCCACCACTTTTATGTGTGTTGCATGAGACAAATTATCTCATGCAACATGAGAAACTATATATTCCCATAAATAAAACCCTTGAAAAAGCCATTTTTACTACTCCAATATATTTTGTTTGATTTTAATTACATAAAACATGATTTAAAGTTTTGAAAATGAAGATGAGAAGAAAAGAAAAGGAATTCAATTCAATTGTGTTCGATCCTTTGGATCGAGATGTCTAACCAGAGACTAGTGAGTTTATGTTGGATCTATGTGCTCTTTCATGTATCTATGAGGAAAATACCTTTGAAAGTAGGCAAATCATTATGCACTATAACGGCGTTGTCAGAACGTGAGGTGTGTAAACAATGACAATTAATAGAGAGTAAGGGTGTGTGTACCTATAGGCTTTACTACTTTACCTCTTATTTTTAGAGTTTACTTGTGAGTAGTGAAATTTTAGACCTTTGGTGAATTTTAGGGGTCCAATGCTTGATCCCTCATTGTCGTACTGGGATTTGTATCTTTTAGAAATATTTTCTTTATTTTCCTTTTAGTTGTTTGCCCTTGATGAGCCTTCTAGAATACGAACTTTTATATCACGTCCATAACAAATTGAAAAATGATAAACCTTTCAGAAGTAATTCTTAATAAACAATATTCTTTAGCATTGATACATAGAAGGTGCCACATTTTAAGAAATTCCATTGAAAGTGCTCTGATACCATAAAATATAACATCCTGTATGGATGACGTAAGCCGTCGAACTCACACGAATTAATTAATCAGGTTCAATAAAATTTATAATAGAGTGGTTAACATGAACCGTCTCTCTCAAGGAGTTTGCAAGGAACTTAATCACTTAGTGATACAAATAAAAATAAAATAGAAACCAAATGAAACAGAAACTAAATGAAACAAGAACTAAATAAAAATGGGAGCCAAATAAAAACAAAAACTAAATAAAAAGAGAAACTAAGGAGAAATGGAAACTAAAGAACAAATGAAAACTAAAATGGGGTTTTTTTTTAATATGATTATCAATTTAAACGAAAATAAAAAAATGAGAATAATAAAATTAAAAGCAATCAACCTAAGAATTAGGATTCCAAGGACATCCATCATTGGATAAATAATTACCAAATCGTGGTTGATTCTAAGCGAATTGGAATCCCTGCATTCGCTTAGGAACCTCTCTATAGACGATCGCCTAGCGTTTGGTCGAATACGGTGCATCTACTTGCGCAATCGTGGAGTATCAATTCGTTCGACTTGAGTTCATTGGGTTTAGGGGTGTTAACGGGCCGAGTCGAGTTGAGCTTTGGTCTTAAAAGGCTAAGTTTGTGTTTAAATGTGTCAGCCTAACCAAGCCTGTTACCTGTTATAAATATAATTATCGGCATGTGGGAAAGGCTACTCCTGAAAAAGTAGAAAGTAAGGAATTCAAGTGGGAGAAGAAGAAAGATCAGGAGAGACAAGACAAGCCCTTAGATCTCTCACCTTATGCTCGAATTCCTTATCCACAAAAACTTAAGCAAGTGATTCAAAGGCAACAGTATTCAAAGTTTCTAGATATTTTCAAGAAGTTGCATATCAATATACCATTTGTTGAAGCCTTGGAGAACATGCCCAATTACGCGAAGTTCTTGAAAGATCTACTATTAAGGAAGCGTAAGTTGCGGGAATATGAGACGGTAACTCTGACACAGGAATGCTATAATATCCCTAACTTAAGAATTTAATTAATTACTTGTAATTAAGTAATTAAGCGTGTATAAATGGGTGGAATTAAGCAAGAGGTTAAAATTAATGAGTTAAGGGCACTTTTGAGGTAAAAAGTGCAGTCAGTGAGAATTAAGGGATAAAAATATGAGTAGATAAAAGTACCCAAAATATAAAAGTCAAGTTAAAAATATTACTAGAAAAATATTCTAGACCATTTGGTTAAGTTTGGTGATGAAAGTAGGTGAATAGATAGATGAGCTTATATCCAGTTAACATAACTTAACATATGTAAATTGAAGAATCAGCCTCACTTTCCCTCATTTCTTCTTCTTCCACACGCATGAAACAGAGAGAGGGAGCAGGGAGTGAAATCCATTGATGAGCAAACCCTAGCTTTCCCATTTCTTGACCAAATTCATTTGTTCCAAAGCCAAAAACGTAGAGGATCCTTCCCTCGTTCCAAATCCTAGCTTAGTTTTGAGTGGAAAGCTTTGTGGAGAGAGATTTCTCCCTCCAAAGATTTTGACCCTTTGAAGAATTGAGGAGTTTTGTGGCAGCAATTTCGTTCTGGCAGCAATTTCACAAACGCTTTATACCTATAGTGTTGTGCTATATTTATAACTTAAAATATTTATAACCTCTTGCAATTTATTTTTTCACCGTTAATTTTTATCAATCTATGAATTATAATTTATCGGATTATATTTATTATTAATTTTAAATTTTTAATAAATTATAATAGTTAGATTGACGAAAATCAAAGATGAAAAAATAAATCGTAAGAGATTGTAAAACTTGTAAGTCGTAAGAATAATGCTCCCCGTCATCCTAATCAATATTTTTTTCAAATGATGAAATCGAAATTTGAATTTTGGAATTGAGACATATTTGATCAATGAATTACGAGAAATCAGATGCTTCGTTTACTATTTGTGGGATAAAATGAACCGTTTATAAAAATTTTAAGGGTTTAGTATTTATCATTTTAAATGACATAAGTTGCGTCATTTGAAGAGAGAGATAAACACAAAAAATGAAAATCATGGAAGAGAGAAAGTGAGTGATTATCTTTTAATTTAAATTTTAAATATAAAAAATTATTTTATGTCCATCTCTCTCTTGAAATGACATAACTTCATTTCATTTAAGGGAAAAAGGAGTATCATGTAACATGATATAAGATTTTTTACCTACTCACTCATTGATTTCCGCACCATCATTTTTTACTTTTTGTTTTTATTATATATATGGGACCCACATGTATTTTTGTTTGAGTAGGAAAATTTGTATAAATTATGTTACATGAGGATAGCTTTACCCATCATTTAAAATATGAAAAACATTTTTTCCAATTTTTAAATTGTACTTAGACGGATTTGAAATAGTGAAAAAATTTAAACTGCCATCAACCGCTCAAACAGTGTCCTTCAACAACATCCCTTTACAATTACAGGCACATAACTCTAAAGTCTAAAGTCTAAACCATGCTGTGAGATTTTTGGAAAAAAAAAATGGAAATCCCAACGAGCACTCTTTCTCCTTTGCAGTTGCAGGTCGTGGTAACACGCGTAGGCTATGAACGTTCACATGGACACCTGGCTACAGTTACCGAAGTGTATGTAATATTTAAATGATCACGTCTTTTATATAGAGCACCATCTATCATCAACGTTTCTAATGAAGATAATTGGTGCTTTTTCCTTATGAAGCACCAATTTAAAGAAGGAATCAGCATCTGCAGCTTTGGAATTACGATGGGAAAATGTCAGAAAGAATATACGCTTTGAAGGTGATTATGTTATTTTGCATGTTTTTTTTTTTCTTTATATTATCTGCCCTGATTTATTAAAATCCTAAAATAAATTTGGTGGATAATAATTTGAGAGAGCTTTAGTGGATAATAATTTGGTGCTTGCTAGTTATTTTAGAGGACTTGAATGAAAAAATTTCAACTGCCCATCAACCGCTGCTCAAATAGTGTCCTTCAATAACTTCTCTTTACAATTTCAGGCACATAACTCTTAAAGTCTAAACCATACTGTGAGATTTTTGGAAAAAAAAAATGGAAATCCCAACAAGCACCCTCATTGTCATTTCACTGTCTGCTCTCTCCTTCTTCCCAGTAGTATCATGTTCTGAATATCCAACTTCAGGTTACCAAAAAAGCAACACTCTTTCTTCTTTGCTTGAATTGAACGAAAAAAACAATAAGAACAAAGGAAGTTTTTTGCACAATCTTTACCATTTTTTTTTATTTGTGACAGATAGTTCAAAATTCCCCATATTCGCTTTCAGTTGGTGGGATGATAAGGGCACATTCCTAGCCGGTGACACAGCAACCGTTAAGGTCAAAGTACTTGAGAATGCTGATAAGATTGACAAAAATGCTTTTGATCCCATACTCACTGTGAATGGAAAGCCAGGGAACAGTTCCTATGTCTCCACTGTGTTGTCAGATTTCCAAGGAGACTCAAATAATTGGAAGATTTCCTTCACCCCCATTAGGGTTGGATTGTTTAATGTACTCATCAATGAGGACCGTTACAAAGTTTATGATTCATCCTTGCATTTCCAAGTTGAGCCAGGTTTGATTTAAAATTAGATAGGTGTTAATGGAGTTAGTTTAAGTACCATTTTAAATCACTTGAAGGATTCTGTTGTTTTCTAACAAATGTAGGTTACTTCGGTTTTGTATGTGTCTAATAATACTAGATACTATTTTCTGACTGAAGGGAACATGTACCCGTCTGTGTGTGTTGCATCATGGAAGGGCCTGAAATATGAGTTTGTAGCTGGTTCAAAAGCTACAATTATGGTGCTCCTTAAAGATGCATTTGGGAACAGTATCTCTAAAACCACTCAAGTGTCCTATTTGCCTGATTTTAATTTGTTTGTGCTACATGAGAATGGTTCTATTGCAAATGTGCCAGATATCTCCAACATGGGATGGAATGAGTTTGATTATATAGTCATTGAGTTTGTTGTGACAAAAGCTGGAAACTTCTCCTTGCGCATAGAAGGAGGAAATCAAACCTTGAATGGTTCTCCATTACCATTGAAGGTGAATCCAGGTTGTGTGTTTTTGTTTCAATAATATTTAGTTTTTTGTCATATTTGGGCTATGTAATCTTTATACAATAGTAGTTATTTTGAACTTTTATTTACATGCTTGGGCTTGATCATACACAAATATCTCTGACATCAATGATGAACATCTTATCGTCAAATACCAGGAGCTATAGATGTCTCTAACTGTGTCGCCAAGTGGAACATTGAACCACATGCATGCCAATTGGCATCGAAGATGGAAATCTTTATACATCAGTTAGATCAATATGGAAATCTGGTTTCTGGACTGTATCCATTTGATGCTGAAGTTGTTGAAAGAGATACAAACTTGTCAATACCAATAGCTGATCTTCATTTTGAGGAAGTGGATGCTGGAATTCAGTTGTTTTCTTTTAGCAATTCGGAACCAGGGAACTTCCTGTTGACAATATATGATACCAAGCATAATAAAAGCATTTCCAATATGCCATATGATTACACTGTTTTTGTAGGTAGAGTATCATGCCAAGTCTCCTAAAAATTTTATTGGTTTTGCGACATCATTCTAGTCCTCTGCCTCTTTCCTTTTGGACTTTTTGTGACATCACTTTAATTAATCTCTTAAGCTGTAGTGACTTCTTACGTAATCATTTCATTATGTGAATTTTATTACTTCCCTCTTTTAAATGTAATTTCTGTTTCATGTTCCTTTCTGAATAGGTTATTGTGATGGGGTGAAAAGTGTTATTAATGGATCGGGTTTAAATGATTCAGTGGCTGGGGTAAAGGCAGAATTTTCTGTTTATTTGAATGACATCTACCAATATCCTTCACCAGTTGAAACAGACATACTTCAAGTACAAATCTTAAGAGAAAATGACTCCTATAGTGTTTCGCCAATCATATATCCTATGCTAAACAAAAATGGTATTTTCAATGATAAACTTTTTATTACATTACTTTATACATTTCATGATTGTATTTTGATTGTTATATGTGGATCTTGATATCAGGGAGCAAAATAGCTCCAGGAATGAGATATGATGGTATCAATCACATGGAAACCGCCCCGTCACCTTCAATAGAGATGAGCAACAACGTAAGGAAGACAAATATAAATTTTTGGTGCACATTTTCTTGGGATTCTAATGATATCTCATCTTGGTTTCAGTCTAATGGGAGCGGGAGCCCTGTAATGGCCAGTGCTTTTCATGTGGATTACACACCAGAAAAAAGTGGTTTTTATAATATTAATGTATATTGTGGAAACATATTATTGAACGAGGGCCATTTATTCAGAAAAGAGGTAAAAGCAGGTACTAAAATGTATTACATGATTCTATAAAAAAAAATGATTTTATAAGGTTGGCATTATCATAAACGTAAGTGAATGAGAAAATGAAAGAAGAGATACAACCCCACTGAATGGAAGAGTTTTTAATTTATAAGGTTTATTGCTTCTAATGATAAGTGGTTTACAGTGCTAAGCTTAAGTACACAATATATCCATGGGTTATATATGTTAAATTTTATTTGCAATTTTTTATTTCATTTTTGATAGGTAACTTTTGCATATATTTGTTGTTTTAGAGACTCTTAATCATTTCTCATCAGTGTGCCGTTAGCTTTGTGCAGGTGAAGTAAATATTTCCTTGTCAAGTGTTGTGAGATTTTCTTCAAAGGTGCCAAAGCTGTTGAAAAATGAATTAATAGTGCAGCTTATGGATTCATACTTAAATCCTGTCCTCTCGCAACAATCAAGGTTGAAATTGGAGATTGCTTCAATTAATAATTCTGGGTTTTCAACTTGGGACATTGTGGATAATAAGGATGGGTCATACAGCTGCAACTATATGGCTAAAGATGTTGGCACTTACGAGATTTGTGCTTCGTTTGATGGCAAGCGTTTCTTGCCATGTCCCCTCAGTATCAATGTGTACAGCAGTAAGTTCAAACAACATGCTGTGATATATGTATAGATATATCTATCGGCTCTAATTTATTAGTTGTGAGCTGTCATATACAAGTAGGATTAATGACTAATATTGGGTATAAGACTTTTTATTTTTACATCTATTTTAAGGATTCTTTTGCTTGATGACTTACAGGTGAATATTTTCCCAAAGCCAACAATGATACAGTATCAATTTGGGAGGATGAATCTATTGCCATTGATGCCTTGGCAAATGATTATTTTGCGGGTGATAATGCAAGTATAGTTGAATTCTCAAAAGTAAGTTATGTAGTCAATTCATTCTGAAAGATCCTTAGTTATCATTTACATTTTGGGAGATTATGGATGTTAACACAGATAGGATTTATTTTCTTCCAGCATTTAATTATACTATGATTGTCTAGCAATTCAGTCAATATGCACCTCAATATTTATTTACTGCATAATGAATAATTAACCGTAACTTGCTTAAATTTGTGATGAACCAACTGTCTCAGCATTACAGTGTAAAGTCTTCTTTAAAGAGAGATGATTGAAGTTGTTGCTAAATTAAATTAGTAATACTCTCCATTACGTTATCCACTACCTTAATTTTTATGTCTTCGTATTCTTTTAGAATATGATAAATGACCCCTTCTCTGGTATTTTGTTAGTCAGATCATGGTTCACTTATACAGAACGGAAGGATCTTTCGTTACACTCCCTATAAAGATTATTATGGAAATGATTCTTTTTGGTATACAATATCTGATATAAATGGAAATCTTGCTACTGCTTCCGTATACATATCTGTTCTCAATGTTCCACCTCAGTTTGCTTCTGTTCCAAGTCAGCTGCAAGCAACAGAAGATTTGATAAGTCCTAGATTTGGGTCTGTATACACAGCATATATAATTATTTTTGAAGAGTTATGTCATATTGTTTAATTAATTGAATTTTTCCCCTTATATATAATCTTATTGTATCCTCCTGCAGTGGTTTCACTGGGTTTGAGATAACTTATTCAAATCCAATGGAGAATATTTCTGTCAATCTGAGTGCCCAATCTGGAAGTATACTTCTGTCTCCTATGGTGATGCAATTTGGGCAAAAAATGTGGAGTGAACTTACAATTATTAGAGGAAATGAAACAGCAACTAGTTTACTACTAGAAGGATCAGTGGAAGTAATCAATTTTGCGCTTCAATCAATTCAGTATATGGGGTATTTTTTATATTGTTATGTCATCTGTAAATATTATGTTTTCAAGTTTTGGTCGTAGTATTAACTATGTTACTTTTGTTCTTCAGAAATGAGAATTTTTATGGTGGAGATACCATTAAAGTCTCTGCAAAGAATAAGAATGGAGTAAATTCATTGGGCGTTCCAATTTTTGTTGACCCTATCAATGACACTCCAATTATTAGAGCCCCTTACTTCATCATATTGAGGAGTAATGAAGATGAGACCGTGATCTTTGAGAAAGAGAAAGACAAGTTTGACTTTTTCATTGGAGATCCTGACCTTCTTAACTTCCCTGGTATGATTTGGAATGAGTGTCTTAAGGTGATACTTTATAGCTTATGTCTAATGTAAGATTTACAAGGTAAAACATGCAATTATATGAGACAGTGATAGTTATGTTTATTTCTGGGAAATTGCAGCTAATCAATAAAAGATGCAATTATATGTTTTCTTTTTTATATAAACTAAAAATTATTTTGAATAATTTTGAAATCTGATAGACTAAATACTTCTCAATTTTGCAATTGACTTGATAATTTCTGTTAGAAAGTTTGGAGGTTTGACATTCTGCTGATTGGTCATATGCCAGGTGGTGAGGCTCATTTTCTGGTGGCTTTCTCTATGGAAGTAAATGATGGATTATTAGTCACAAATCTCCCAGCTCATTTGATCAATACAACTGAACTGAAGCACGGGAATAATTATCAGTGGCAGCCTCTTCAGACATATGTTACTATATCAGAGCACTTTATGGTCAAAGCTAATGGAATCAGATTTCAGGGCACAGTCAATGACTGCAATAGTGTTATGCAGCAACTTTTCTATCATGTGAGTGATCTTCTTTTACCATATGTTTGAGGAGCAATCAAGGTCTTCAATAAGTTCCCATTACCAGTTAAATATAAAGCCTAGACAAAAGTTTATCGCTAGTGGAAGAAGCACTACCATATGTTCTTTTGTCATGAGCTCATGACCAAAATAGTAGAATTAATAGAACATATAATACAAAGTTACAAACAGATCCACTCACTGTTCAGCTGTTTGATGTACAAGTGTGGATACATTGTTGAGAAGGACCCTAAGGTGTATATAAATACTACCGTAATTTGATTACTATAATTTTGGCAACACTGTATGACTAAATTTATTTTTGAAAAAAGGTGGCATTGAGAAGCTCCAGAAGGTTTTACAAGTAGTCCTTATCTACTTCTCAAAGCACCTCAAAGAAAAAACCATCAATATCTAGGAAGAAGTTGCTTAAAAGTTTACTAAATGCCTGAAACTATTACTATATAAAGGGAAGGGTTTGGTGTTTGTCATTTTAAATGACATAAGTTATGTCATTTTAGGAGAAAGATAGACACAGAAAAATAGAAATCATGGGAGAGAGAAAGTGGGTGGTTTTTTTAATTTAAAATTTAAATAAAAAAAAATTATGTGTCTGTCTCTCTCTTAAAAAGACAGAGCGTTATGTCATTTAAAATGACAAACACTTTTCTCATAAAGGGAAAGTAAAAGCACCTATTAGAAAACTAAACCAAATTAAGCCATGTTTTACACTTGTAGTTTCCTTTGTTTAGTATTGTGGCAAAACCTTGCTAATAATATATCAAGTAAACCAGAGATCTTGGATTGTCACTATGTTTTCTTTTTCTCATTTTGTACAGGGAGGTGAGCATGGAGCTGTTTTAACATTGACATTGAATGACATGGGAAACTATGGGTGTTATCCAGATTGTGCAGAGGGAATGTCAATGCCATTATATACTGAGGCTATGATTAATTTAATGAGAAAGCAGCCAATGAGTTCATTTCTTGCTCACAGTAAGTTGCAGATTTCATAAGCTTAGTTGAGTTGGATGGGCAGATTTCAAGGGCACCAAACAGAATTAGAGTCCTTCATCTTCTCATATTTTGAGTTTCATAATTTCCATAATTAGTTGATCAGAATTAGAAGCATATAAGTATGTTGTTTATATGACTAACAAGCTCGTTCTATTTGTGGCAACAGCCTTAGGATCAATCATTGTGATTGAATTTGTCATCATATTCTCTCTTGGAGTTTTGCTTCTATACTTCACGTGCAAATGTGCAGTTCTTCTAGTACATGAAAGAAGAAACCATGAGAAAAGGTCTTCAGAGCTATCTACTGTGCAAAGTTCCCAGAGACAAACTGTAAGTGTGCATAGCAGATAAATTCTCATCTGCATATAGCAACATAACAATGTTTTTGTTTCTCAAACACCATTCTTTTATTACTAGAAGGAAATTACATGTTAGAAGATTTAATTCAGTTGTATTGACACAGTTACATCTCCTTGCATTATTATCTGGATAAATAGCATTAAATGACTCATCCATTGTTTCTTTTCCATTTTTTGGGCCATATTCCTTTGCCTTATTTTACAATTACATGCAGTCAAGCATGACCATATCTGAGAATGCTACTTATTTCACTGGTTGCTGTTCAAGGCCTTCCTTGCTTCGTTTTGGTATGCAACCCTCCAACTTTCGCCAACGGTAAGTAGTTTGATTCTGTAGGCTGCATAACTGTCATCATTGCTGTGAGATTAGGATGATAAACATAGTGTATGTGAGAGATATAATAAAACTATTTATATAACTGCACCTAATCCCTTGAGCTTTTAAAATAGTTGGTGAGATGGTATGAGAGCCTTATTCCAACACAAGGGAGAGTTGTTTCATGACAAATTATTTTGAAAACCAATAGAATGCAAAATACAAAAAAATTATTTAAGAATATCAGAAGAAACTGTTAGAGAATAATATAAACTATTAAAAAGGTTTTCACCCAACAGCTTAAGTTTTTGGGTTGAATTGGTTCTTTACAGAAACATTACTGGCAAACCAATCAAATTTGATCAGATGAAAGAGTCAGCAATGCAGCTATAATGCTTGAACGGTGGCAGAATTTCTTTCAAGATTCATAAACTAGAAAATGGAAAGGTCAAGGGGAGAATGATTTGTCATTTGATGGAAGTATTGGTGTTTTCTGTTCTACTGAGATAATTTATTTTCCTTAGAACTAAACTGAGCTTACTATTTCCTTTAGCTTTAGTGCTTCACTAATAACTTTTAGAGTCCAAAATTTCAGGTCCCGTCGTCAATTTCAAGTTGGAGAATCTAGCAAGGCAGTGAATCAACCCTCTCCTTCAACAAGTGAAACCCAGTATACAGTTGTGCCTACTTCTACACCACTTGCCATTGAGAGAAACCATAGCTCAAACTCAAACGTTTAAGACTTTTTATCAAGCCCAACTGAAAGATGATTGTATTAACTGCTGTATAGATTCAATTTTTGTGCCTTGTGTTATTGAGTTTGTGTAACTAGTAAATTCATTGGAATTTCTGAAGATCAAAGTTAATGTACTTTCTCATTTTTTATTTAAAAAAAAGAAATTGCCTTTAGTACTAAGATTCTCAAATATGAAGTTCAAACCAGTTATAGACTGACAACTTCGTTTCCCCCATGAAATTAATTAAAATATGGGGAACCATTAGTTACTTTCTTATATGTCCCATTTAAGAATTTTAAATTTTTCTCTCTTGACGGGGAGATGTTTTTAGAAATTCACTTCTCTAAAGCTAAGGACAAAATGTGAAATTATAATTGATGGTTGAAATTTTAATAAAATATGTACTTATGTATAATAAATCATAAAGTTGCTAAATTTTACTTCATTAAACAGCACTTTACCTTTTAAATTACACCGCTAAATAAGATTTATAGGTTGTAATTGCACTTAAACACACATGGCTTTTGTATAAGCTCCTTTTTTTTCCCTTAAAACTTTATATGAGCACAACTAAGTAACTTGATCAATAAAGTTTGCAATGGTTTTATTTAGAGTAAATTACGTTTTAATTTATATAGGCTTTTATTCAAATCAATTTTAGGACAATGACTTTATATTTTATATTTTAACTCTCTAAGTTTTAGAAACATTCATAGGGGGAGATTTTGAGGAGGAAGTAGGTAACCTCCAATTAATTCTTGTGCTTTATTTTTTCATGCTTGTTATTTTTCAGTTACTTATACTTAATATGGTATCATGAGCCTCTTTTCACTCCAGGGCTATCTTCGTTTATTTGTTTAGTGCAGGGGTATATTTTGTAGTTTATCCTTCACTCTAGGACTTTGTTGTAATTTCACCTCTATCTCCAAGGTTCTTCTTGTCACTTCATTCTCACCGTCTCGTCTTTGCATCTCAAAAAATTGAAACCGTCTCTGCATCTAAAAACAAAAACAAAATAAAATTGAAAACCTTTCTTTCATGGCTGCCTCATCTTCAACGGAAAAGAATGGCGCCACCGAGCCGGCGAATCGCCTCACTGCCACCCTTATGAATGTTCGCCTCACTGCCTGATCTTCAACTAATATGTTGTCACTGAAGCCATAAATCAACCTATACCCGAAGCAACAAATCAGCCTACACTTATTGAAAATAATAGAATACCACCAACCCAACATCACTACTAAAAAAACTCTATTATCGACGGAATTTATCAACAGAAAATATTCCGTCAAAAATAGTAACGGAATTTTTGACAAAAATTCAATTCCGTTGGAATTAGAGACGGAAAAAATTTCCGTTGAATTTTGAGACGGAAATTTTCAACGAAAAATAAATTCCGTCAAAAATTTTAACGGAAATAGAATTCTGTTGAAATTTTCTGTCAAAAATTTATCACATAATTACTTTTAATTGAAAAATATTGACGGACAACAAATTCTGTTGATAATTACAACGGAATAATATTCCGTTTAAAATTTCAACGGAAATTTTCCGTTGAAAATTGCTACGGCATAGTTTTCCGTTGAAAATTCATACGGAATTTTTTTCCGTCAAAAAAGGCAACGAAATTTTTCTGTCAAAACTTTTGACGGAATATTTTCCGTCTAAAATTGCAACGGATTTTTGGTCCGTTGAAACTTTCAATGGAATTTTGGTTTTTTTCGGTCGAAAATTTCAACGGAGTTTTTTTCCGTTGATAATTTTCAAGTCATCACAACCATTATCAAAAACCCTAAATTTCTTTTATGCAAGTATGCTGTCATTTATAATTGTTTATGGTGTTGTGCATATATATTGAAACATTTACATGAGAATGCAAGTAGTGACTATCCACATCTGGAAGTGTTGAAGAAGTGGGTGAAGTTATAAGTATACTAAAATGATGCTCAGATGTACTCACATGATAATGGATGTGAAAATACGTAAACATGTTGTTAACAAATTTCTGTAATCTTTATTATACTCAGATCAATATCATATATGTTGATAATTGCATATCACTCATGTTGTGTTTGTTTTCGTTAATTGCATTTTTTATATTGTTTAAGTTTACTATTGATGGCTTCCAGCAGGTCTGCGCTTAGGAGGTTTTGTCCCTCATCAAACAGAAGGCGTGTGTGCCATTTATACGATTAATTATGTCAATGCCTAAGACCTTATCTTTTGTTTGAAGCTTATTTCAATAAAGATTAAAGAGATTTGTTAGCAACATATTTACGTATTTTCATATCCATTATCATATGAGTACATCTTAGCATCATTTTTGTATACTCATAACTTCACTCACTACTTCAACACTTGTAGTTGTGGATAGTCATGACTACTTGCATTCTCATGTGAATGTTTGAATATGTATGCACAATACCATAAGCAATTATAAATGATAGCATTCTTGCATAAAAGAAATTTATGGCTTTTCATAATGCTTGTGATTACTTGAAGAGCAAAATGAAAGAGTAAAATTCAGTCAAAATTACTTTATGGAAAAAAGTCCATTGAAATTTTCAACGGAAAATAATTCCGTTGAAATTTTCGACGGAAAAAGTTCAAATTTCCGTTGAAATTTTCAACGGAAAATTATTTCGTTGCGATTTTCAACCGAAAAAGTCCAAAATTCTGTTGGAATTTTCAACGGAAAATTATTCCGTTGCAATTTTCAACGGAAATAATTCCGTTGCAATTTTTGACACTAATAAGTCATTGTCTGTCACGAGTCATTTAGGAATACACTTTGCACCAAAATGTAAATGGTCAAAGTAAAAAATCACGCAAGCCCACCCACCTGCTCTACAAATTTATAACTGTCTTCATCGCTCTAATCATAGAACTTCTAGAGTTGTAGAAAGTTGCTAAAAGGTGAAAATTTCATTTTTCTATCTCTCACTTAAATAAATACTTATAAGATGATGATGTATGGGACAGTTGCATCTGTTGTTGCTTTATTCTACTCAGATTAGTGTCATATATGTTGATAATTGCATATGACTCATGTTGCCTTTATTTTCATTGACTTCATTTTTTATATTGTGTAAGTTTAATGTTGAGGGCTTCTAGTAGGTCTGCGCTTAGGAGGTTTTGTCCCTCGTCGGGCTTTGGCATGTGCTAAAAGAAATTTATGGTTTTTCATAATGCTTGTGATTACTTGAAGAGCAAAATGAAGGAGTAAAATTCAGTCAAAATTACTTTATGGAAAAAAGTCCATTGAAATTTTCAACGGAAAATAATTCCGTTGAAATTTTCGACGGAAAAAGTTCAAAATTCCGTTGAAATTTTCAACAGAAAATTATTCCGTTGCAATTTTCGACGGAAAAAGTCCAAAATTCCGTTGGAATTTTCAACAGAAAATTATTCCGTTGCAATATCGCTTACCATCTAAAGGTCTGTTTGCTTAATTTACTTGGAATTATTACCTAATTGCAATTTACTTTATATATTTTTAATTAAGAATAATACAAATAAACAAAAGAAAATCACTTTTTGGCTTAGGCCCATTTCCTTGACGGGTTCAGGTGACCCGAACTTTCCTCTTCTAAACTCCCAATTACTCTAAAACCCTAGACTCACCAGTAGAAGAAGCCATTCTTCTTCTTCTTCTTATCATTATGAGCATTGACAACTTCTATTTTTGCAAGGATTCCATTCATATCTCATTTATCTTAGGATTAACGATTTGCCATATTTAATCATCTAATTGGCAACTCATTATTAACATCAACAATTATATATTAAATGTCTTATTCCTAATAGGTATAATTAATTACTGCTATTTTCATTAACTATTAAAAGACTCATCGTAATATAATTAATTTGTGTTTTGAAAAAGTTTAAAGTGGCATTTGAAATGAAGTTTAATTTCAAAATAGGAAATTTAATTTACAAAAATTTAAAACTAATTTAAAGGATATATACGAATTTGTTTGATTGGATATCAAATTAAAAAAATTATTTTATATAATATCTAAATATTTCCTTAAAAAATATAATTTCATAATTTATTTTTAAATATTCAAATTTGAAACTTTTCAAATTGAAAAAGAGAAATACTTTTTAAAGGAAAAATCAAATACATTAAAACTTGATACGTGTAATGAGTTTCCCCTTTTCCCACTTCCCTCCCAAAGTTTCCCACTTCCCACTTCCCTCCCAAATACTCCGTTTGTTTGCTTTGAAAATCTTTTAGGCCCACAAAATCAAACTATGAAGTTTTTTTTTAAATAGTAAAAAGATGGAATGAGGAAGGGTTTAGGGCAAAGAAGAAATAGTTTGGTTTGCTCAGATCTCAAAAATAGAGACGAAAGAAGAATGAATGGAAGACGATGAGATAACGGAGGTGTCATTCCCTGCGGTTCGAGTTGATGAAGTGAGACGATGAAAGATCTGGAAGATTCTCAGCAACCAGATCGAGCAAACCTTGCTTGATTGGCGCGACAAGTTTCTGTCTTGGAGTTCTTGGAGCTCGAGATTGACAAGTTAAACGTTTTCTTTGTTGAGAAGTAAGAAGAATATATCATCACATGGAAGGTAAACTAACATTTTCTTTTCTAAAACCTAAATCCCTAAATTCCTAATTTTTATGGTTTTCTTTTTCACGAGCTCCGTTGCAATTTCGATTCCTTCTTCACGAGTTCTGATTTCTTCTTCTTCAAGCATGTTTGTGGCAATCACACGCCTTTGCAGTTCTCTGGTCACGGTATCTTCTCTCTCTTTTTCTCAAGCTTTCGATTTTCAATTCTCTGCATTGTTCATCGTTTTCTTTCATTGGATTATTTCGTGGCATTAGGAGTTCAGTGTTGGATTTGATACTTGGAATTTCTGGTTTTCTTTCTTATTAACTCTAGTAGTAGATTTTCAAAGTTCTGTGATTTTTGTGTTTAACTGTGACACAACCGCAAATTTGGATGGTTTAAGCTGCTTTAAGTTTTGTTTATTTGTTTTTGTCATGG